GGATAGGAAGATTTTTACCTTGCATCCTTTGATCGAAAACTTTTATCCAGACAAAAATTTAATCCGACTCAAGTTCTAAAGCTTCTAGACGCTGTTTCGTATCGGTGTGTATCATTCGATTAAAGTTCTCCATTTCTCCAATAAATACTCTAATAATTCTATCGATTCTTCCATCCACCAAGTGTAACGCAGAGCTTGCCAGCTCGCGAATACCATTTCCCCGTCAATAAAACGTGAGAGCGTATTGTCTGTACGAAATGACCCACTTCTGCGGGCCTCTGAAAGAGAAGTCGCTGGGTACGCCTCCATCTGCGCGAAGGTCGCCTGCTCATCGTGATCAGACAGGTGCGTAGTATGTATCTGGCAGAAGCCGCGATGAGAGGCGCAAATTCATTATCCGGGTAAAGAGTTTTGAATAACGAATAAAAGACAGAGTGGTACTTCGCCATTTTTAATCGATTAAACCCACTGACGATTTTTTTTCTAAATGAAACTATTTTGTTTTCTAAATGAAACTATAGCATTTTTAAAGTATTTTCCGTTAGAACGAGGCATAACAAATCCAACGACTGTAAATATATTACAAAAAAAACACAAGTGATGTATAAAAAGTGAACAGAAATTGTGGTACGTCGTGGTATGTACATATATCAAAGTGTTCGCTTCAGAGACAATTGAACGCTCAAAGGTACAAAGGTATCGGAACGTTACACAACATCCATTCACTTTTTATACGTTATTTATGCCTTTTTGCCATATATTTATAGTCACTGGATTTGTCATGTTTCATTCGAACAAAAAAAATACTTAAAAAACCGCTATAGCTTCATTTGAAAAACAACAGGTAACATCCATATCTCCGAAAAAAATGCAAATAAAGAAACATCGATTTACAAAAATTATGCACACTTGAATGTAGTTAAATTTTCGTCTACCACAATTTTTTGGATAAAAGGAAGATCCTGCAATTTTTTGGCGACACTTACGCGATTACACTCCGTACAATTTAAAATTTTTAAATCTTTATAGTATAGATCAAATAATAATATTAATTATCTATCACTGATCCTGCTTTCCACTATCTATCCTTCGAATAAAATTGTACCGAACTTTGGCCATCAGACCATCTTTGAAAAATCATATTTAAAATCGAGCCTAGCCTTGGTCTCCCCGGCACATAAAGCGAATCGATCATGATTCTTACGTCACGTAGATCCGTCAGTTAGTTAAGAGGAACATGGATGTACGTATATACGTGATTCGCGTGACAATCGAGCCGGCCTTACTCATCGGCCGCGACGATCTTGAAAACGCGATCGATCGAGCAAGGTTCGTACCGATCCGCCTCGGTAATTAAGAACCGCGAATCGCGCTTCAATCTTCCGTTTTCTGAACTCGAGCAACCTTTGCACGGTGTTTCCTACGGTACTGTTTTTTTTTTAGATTTCCTTAGACCTCTTCCGTTTGAACCCCCTTGACCTCGCGTTTTCTCTGATCGCTCCCGGCGATTCCGTTGGTTTCGACGTTGAAATGGACGGTTCTTTGCGGGAGTACCTGGCCGTGGAAAGCGACTGTTCGCGTTTTTACACGGTGTACAGGTACAACGAGTCCTGTCGTGAGTTTTGTCGTAGATATACAGGGTGGGGCAATAATTATGTCCACTTTGAGTATTGCCGTTATTTGTAATAATATGAAAAAATGTTATATACAAAACTTACACGGTATAGAGGGGGGGCATATTGTGACACAAACATTTTCTGCGTGGGTGAAGGCATAGAAGAGATTTCAAGGTCATCTCTATTTTTTTTAATGGAATGCTATGTTTTTTTTTATCGCGATGTGATTGCCGGTGTTCAGACGACGTCAGCGAGCTATCATTGAAGGTCATGCAAGGTGAAACGTGGTAGTAAAATAAACTTTCTTACATTACAGGAGATGCTCGAAGTGGTGGTCGTTCGCGTTAATGCAAAGTTGCAATCTTCGTATCGCTGCATCGTAATTGCAGCATGTGCTAGAATAAGTTCAGAAACGATAAGACATGCACGTGACGAAGATTTTTAGGAATAAGATGTATGTTATAAGATGTAGATTACTTATTGGTACATTTAATAATTCTCTTCGTTCTACTCTTTTATTCACTGAACAAGTATTCCTCTTTAAAACGATGAACCTTGAAACAATCACAGTGAATCTCTTATGTTATTCAGTTCAAAAGATCTGTGTCCTTTTAAAGATGTAACATATTCGAGTCCACAATGTTTCAATCCGTTCCCTAAAAAAATTCTTACCCATGAGGAGCTCATATTTTACACCTCTTGTGTACTCACGATCCCCTATATTTTGCACCTGGTCTAATCCAGAAACCCCTCATCTCGATCGTCCCCCTTGCCAGAAACAAAACGCCCTGTGTTTCGTAGCGTTCTTCGATCCCCCGAGTATACACGCCAGCTGCAACGTTCACAAAACATAGAAATTATCTTACGAAAAGATATCACCTGCGCGATAAAGCACGCGATAATTCGAGCCATCGCGAACACCACGAGGATTTCAGGGAAGTGTGCTTGCGCGAAACAACGTGAATCTTATTCAGATTCGTGCAGCCGATGTCGAGCATCGTAAACGCCATGAGTCACGACGAGATATGTAAAAATAGAGTATTACGATTTCATATGGATGTGGATTGCCTCCATAAGTTGTATCTTTATTGTATTATTACGTTCCTCCAGTTCTCCCTGAACCGGAGATCTACTAATTTTTCGTGTCAAGGTCCACGATTTAGCAAGACGGAATTTCATCTGTTGGGTATTGGACGAAGTCTGTGCGGTTTTGTATTATACATTTCAGACAATTATGACTTTCTTTAAATATAATTGCATTCAACCGCGTAGTATCATCCAACTTTCTAAGTTTTTTTTCAGAGGCTATTAGATTGCACATCTGTTAACCTTCTGTAGAGACGATGATAATGAGAATAGGGGATTTTATTGCTTTCTGAACAGCGTTTCGTGACTGGAGAACCTGATAGAAATTTAATTTCATTTTAAGTTTTAATTGGATAATTGAGTTGAATGTATATTCACAAATAATATCGGGGTTGTAAATGTTTTAGGATTAAAAAGGGTCGTTTTTACTAGATAAACGACAATGGATTTAGAAATATATGAACGTATATGTTCGTCACTTCAACGTCATAGACGTCATGGAGAGATGAGAATAAAATAACATTCGAGTATTAATCTAAAAGGACGTATTAATTATAGTTGGAACTCCGTCATCATTTTTTAAGTCCTCGATGTCTAATAACATTGATATGAACAAAAGTGAACGGTAATCACATAGATAAAGGTTCAGGCTATAGAAAAAACGTGACAGAACCTCCTTTCTTATTAACACGTCCCCATGCTAGGCACCAATAACTGGAACTACCGAATTCTACGAAAAGCCATCCAACCCCTATACAGTAATAACCTCTCCATCTACACCAATATCTCTTACTAAACAATAATCAAAATTAATGTCGAAGTTGTCATTAATAGAAAACCAATACGAACTTTCGTGTGTACCTGAAACAGAGTTCTCTCTTAAAATTCCATTAAAATTCCCACCAAATAATATAAAACAGTGTTAAGTCAGTGACAAATAAGAATACAGAATCAAGTCATCAGCCAATCAAGCTATCAAAGAATCTTACCCACATGCTCTCTATAATCTCATATAGGTGTGATACCCTATTACATCTCCAGATCCAATGACTTCACACGTACCGTCGATCGATTCGAGCGAACTGAAAAATCGTTCGACATTAGAAAAATTAAAAGTGACGAACCCAGTGGCGTAATCACGACCAATTGGCCGCGCAAGTATGTGGGCCGGGCGGAAGGAAAAAATTGAGGACGATTACGCGGCGCATGGAATCACGAAGAAGTCTTTCTGCGTGCCGTGACATCATCGCGGAAACAATTACTAAACCGACTTGGGCGAACGGTGCCGCGTGCGCCGGTCTTCGGGAATCACAATGACGATGGATTACGCGATCGGCGGCGATCATGATTCGGCGTGCTCCCCGTTGCACTTGCAAAACAATGCACCAAGGTCCGTTGCGCGCTGAGACCAGGCTGAGACTAGGAATTTATTCGATCCATAGCCTAGGGAGCTTAACTTACAGTACTTACTGGATAAATGGCTTCGGATATAGATGTTTTTTTTTTTACAATAATCAGGCAAGAAAGGCGTTGACTACTTAACATTTCGAGTGGACACATCCTAAACGGTCTTGGAGGCGCATGTGGGAGACAAATGACCCTAGGTGATTTAAAACTCGAAATATCGTTTACACTATGGATTTTTCGAAAAAAGTTGTGGAAGTATTTTTCAAAATGTAATATTTGTATTTTCAGGGAAAATAGCTGAGATTAACCCGGTTACTACTTTTTTTCATAAAATCAAGAATCAATAGTCATTTTAAGTCTAATTAGAACAATTTTGAAAATTTAAAGTAGATAAACGGTCACACCGTAGTAGAAAAAAAATTCCAGATATTGTTACTAAAGTGATAGAATAGGTGTCTATTGTAGTAAACAAATGCAGTTAGCGGATTAAAGAAAAAATAAATTAATTAAGTAATAAGAAAGGGGTTTACTTTGAAGATCAAACTTGGGACTGGGTTCTTTCATCCCCCAGATGCACTCGAAGTGTTGATGTAACATCCACGGTATCCCTAATTCAAATGCTACAGCAAAATGTGTCTGTCTGATTACATTTGATCGATATTATAACTCGCGTGAATATCAACTTCGAACCTTCGTCTAATTGACGAGAAATAATAAGAGTGTGGAAGCATCAGTCGAACGCAGGTTCACGTGCAGATAATATGCGAGTGTCTGCACACGCTTTATCTGCAGACTCGAGACAACAATTTCATACGTTTTTTTTTTAACGCGACTGCGCAATGTATGTGTCCAGCCTTGGAAAATTGCTCAGTTGGTTTCTATTGTTCGCAGATCGAGAGATAGAGCGAAATGGGCTACGGGACAGAAATGGACGGCTGCGGCCGATGTATGAAGTACTCCTTGTTCTTCGTCAACTGCGTCATCTTCGTAAGTATCAGAACGATTCAAATTATCCTTCCATCTTTCGGTGTTTCAGGATTCTGTTACTTCATTCGTTTGTTTTGATGCTGATTTTTGTTCAGGAAACTTGTACACCTCTTTCTATAGGTCGTCGAATTCTATTCATTAGTATACATAGAGTGTCCCACCTTAGACTGAATACCTGAATATCTTCTTTATTTTGAACGATATGAGAAACGTTTCAAACACAGTTTGGATAATTTCAGAAGGTGAGTATCATACATGGAACATTTTTTTAAAGTACATGCTATCTGGCAAAAAATAGCGGGAAACTAAAAAAAATTCGAAAAAAATGTTTCATGTACGGTACTCCCCTTGTGAAACCATTCAAACTGAATTTGAAACGTTTCTCATATCATTGAAAATAAAGAAGATATTTAGATGTTCGGTCTTAGGTGGGACACATTGTTTTATACCTTGTGTTAAGAAATAATGCTTCTCCAGAAAAGGATAGATTATATTCCCTAGAGAAAAGTGTTTCTTTTTTCTTTTAACCACAATCCATAACGATTGACAATTTAAGGGTGGTTTTATAGTTGTGCCACGAATCATGATTATGCATTTATATCGAACCATCATGCACACTGCGAATATCACGTTCTTTAAAACACTACATATCATTTTCTGTCAACAACAATTTTTACAGTATACTGTAAACATTATAAAGTATCCTCCATGATCGGAAATGTTACCTCAAACGTCTAAATGTCCTATGCGGCGCGAATGGGAAAGTCATCGAAAACTAGCCTGACGGCGAACGTGTTAATGAAAGTATCAGTGTTAATGAAAGCGCCAATGTTAATTAACGTTAACCGATTTCACGAATCAACTTAAAATTAACGAACGTAAACTTTCAGTTCGGAGGAGTCGCTATAGTGGGCCTAGCAGTATGGGCACTTCTGGACAAAGTGCCATGGATAGGCGAGCTGGTGGGCAACGATCTCTTAACCGGCGCGATCTACGTTCTGCTAGCTGGCGGGATCATCGTCGCCATTATATCGTTCTTCGGTTGCATCGGTGCATCGCGGGAAGTCAAGTGCATGCTTCTCACGGTAAACCCCTCTCCATCCTCGTACTTCTGTCCCCGACATAACAAGGAAATTAAAGGGCCCCGATTTAACGTCCACAAAAACGTTTCCAGTACTTCATCATCGTGTTCTTGCTGTTCGTGACGATGCTAATTGGAGGAGTACTCGCGTATGTGTTCCGTGAGAAATTAGTGGACACACTGCAGAGGGAAATGTCGAGTTCGATGAGGGTTTACGATAGCCGCAAGTCCGTCAGGGAAGCTTGGGACACGACGCAATCCACGGTGAGTGTCGTGGAATGTTTGAAGGACGATTTTCGTTTTCGTTTCAGCTATTGCAGGGTTGTACCACTGGGAGCGGTGAAACCGAGAAGAAAGTAATTGTGCAAAAAGAAATAAAAATGAGGAATAGATTGTTTGCTTGTGAAGCTTCATTTTGAAGGAAATTGAATTTGAAGACTGTTCAAGATTGGTGCTTAGAAAGTCAAGGTGGTAGTAGAATTGGTGGTAGTACCGAAAAGTAGATGATATGACGGGTGAAAAGTGTATTGAAAATGTACAGTAAAATTGTTTGGTTGCAGCTTTGGTTGCGAAAAAATCGACACTAAATATTTGTCGTACGATAAGTAGAAAAGGTGGGTGGTGAACAGACGCGTTAACCTCATCGCGATCTGTTTTATCGATTCTACCAGTAATTTAATTGCAACCTGTGTGACCGACTAATGCGTGCATCTACCACTTACCGTTTCTACTTCAACCAGACAGAAATACCGGTACAATGGTTTCTGTTTCTCAACGATTTTATTATACTCTGTTGATCGATTTATGTCAAAGTTTCATGGTGAATGCGTAACACGATACTATTTTCAATATTGCAAACATTAACATCAATGACAACATTTAAAAGGAACTTCTTTGTAACATTTTAACCACTGGTTACGTTTAACTGTCTACGTATAATTAACGCGTCGCTGAAATTATTCTTGGCCCGACTATAATCGACATTTTCCATTTGGACTACAGCTCCACTGCTGCGGCGTAAGCGGATGGAGAGACTGGGGAAGCCTAGGTCTGAACGTGCCACAGAGTTGCTGTCGCGAAATCCAGCCCGGTCAGGTAAAAGATTAATTTCCTTAACGAGCTCGTTCTTCCGTGGATGGAATAGTTAGCCGTTCGCGAATCCGTGCATACAAAACTGTAGTAATTAGTGATTCACGCTCTACTCATACACCGACTATCCACGGTCTAGCATAATGATCCTCGTCAAGTTCAATTACGTTCCTCAAACTGAGAGAAAAATGCATTTCTCTGTCAGCTTAATAATTGCTTCTGATGTGTGCCTATCTTTATAATTACCAAGTCATCGTAATTAAGATTTGCAAGTAAAATTGTCCGTGCGGCAAATTTCTACCTTAGAAACACTGCATAATGATTATTGGATATTCTGATTGGAAACCTTACGGAAAGCTTTTGCAGTGTGAAACTATTTATTCAAGAGTAATAATAAGGATCTCTATAACCAAATTTATTATGTTCCGAAATCTAACAAAGGTGCATTTATTTCTATAATAATAGGAAAAGTAACTTTCATTTGTTTTAATGGATTTGTCTTTACACCTTTTACTATTCTGAAACATTGAATGCATTAGTTCCTTGAAATGCACTAATTTCTTGTGGAAATTGTATCTAATTAACTTAGCAGTAATAAAGTAGAACACACAGGGAAATAATATACGTAGAAGGATCATAAATATGACGAGGTTAGAATCCATTACAGAAAATCCTTGATGAGTGTTCGGAGGTTCCTCGGCACTGATAAGAAGAGGTCCTTAGATGTAACGCTGACTTTTTAATGAACTTCAGCACAGTGATATTTGTTTCAGTCGTATAAAGCCATTATTGTACGAAATATTTAATGTTCAGCCTTCGAACACTCATCGAGAATTAACTGTACTGTCTCATAATTCAATTCTCGCGGTTTCAAGCATCATTGGTCATTAACGTACCTACAGTCGGTTCAACAGGTGTCTACTACTTTGTTACCAACAAACGATAACCAATTCCCAATTTGAATTCTCCATCGTTCGTGTGGTTCGATTGGATCCTCCTGGAGAATTTTATCGAAAGAATTCCACGGTACATATTTCGAAACGCCGGTACGACGAAACACCTATCGATTACGTTCAGAAAAATTTCCGTCCCGTCGCAATCTCTCGGTCGGCCTCGGCTCTGTTTCGCCTCTCACGCTTTCACCCGGGGGTCCAATCGACTTTCCCAAGCCGAATTGTTTCTCATGCGCCGGTCTACCATCGATCTGTTACAGCGATTCAACTGCAACGCTGGACCGGACACGGTGAATCCCTCGAATGCCTATCTCGAAGGTTGCATCAACGGAACGCAGATTTACATGCAGAAGCACGCGACGATCATGGGCGGCGCCGGTATTGCAGTCGCCTGTCTGATGGTATAAAACAACTTTCTCCGTTTTAGCAAAAGTTCATGGAGAAATAGCATTTCCATGGTTAATGCTCGTACAAGAGGACATGCACAGTTTATTGCGAAAGTTCACGAAATGATTTATCATTCTTAATCACCGCGTAATAAATGCTGGCAATGTTGTGTGCCTTTTAATACACAATACGTATTAATTTGTAGTTGCAACATGCAAGAATTTTTCGTTCAGATCTATTTGATTATTAGGCACGAATTAGTTATCATTTATTAGAATGGAACATTATTGATGGAGATATTATTCAAAGAAGTCGTATTAGAGATTCGGATCGTTAATTAGGCTTTTTACCAAGAAATTGCGTACTGCTTTCTTACAAGATCGTCAATTTTTCAGGTGTTTGAAAATTACGAAATACTTTTCCTGTAGCTTCATGATATAATCTCACGGTAATCTATTCTGTGAACATTTTGGTTAAACTGTGTATTGTACAATAGAACATGTGAAACTATTGCTATTATTGAAAATAATAAGAATAATTGAAGTTTGAATAATAAATAATGCACTTCGTACGGTGAATGCATTACAATTGCTAATGTTTTCGTTACAGTTCTTTGGCATGATATTCTCTTGCGCGCTATTCAAGATGATAGAATGACGAGAGGGCTATGTGGTCTAAAGACACCTCCAAGGTACTTCGTGGTAAGCTAATGAAGACCAAGTGGATGTCAACCGTCCTCGAGCGACTCATACGAATTCATAATCAACGTCATCATCGTCATTGAGTGTACCTAGCTGAAGTACGAAAATCAAAATGCATCTCCACGTCCATCTACGTTGTCAATGTACAGTTCTCATCGTTTTGTATTTACCGTCTTTGTATCTTTCTCTAATTTATAGAGATACACGGCAAGCGTTCTTGTTTAAGTGTACGATGTATTATATTTAATTTTTATGGTAATATATTGTGTACCTTCCACGCGAAATAAATATAACATATATGAAACGACCGCGTATATCTATCGAATGTTATCACGCAAAATAATCACGGCAACTTATTAAATTCAAATGCATATGGCACCGTTTGGACAACTTATCTGTAAATTTGTACAAACTTTAGCGCTATCAAATAATTCCTGCAACGCGTACATCAACCGGACTTTTCAAAATTCCCTAAACTCTTACATTCACTGACGTCCACGTGATGCCCAGAAATAATTGGAGAACTAACGGGCACTAAAGGCCCTTGGAAGGGACCTTCCCAAAAGACTCTACAAACCCTGGGAGGAATAGACCCCAAGGAACCTCGCAGTTGTGTTTCTACAAAAAATCGATATTTTTAATATTTGAACGACCATCGGCCGCCTTGATTCTCTATATTATTCATACGTCAGGATTTTTAAACTCTCGGCATAGACCATTTTCAGACCCAGCAGACCAAGGATCGAGCTTTCCTTTTGTGTGTCCAAAGGTTATTTTAGTTCCCCTATTTTTAAGCGAATCGATTCCAGCTCGGTAACAAGAAGTCTATTAAATTCTGCTCGTCATAAAGGTTTGTTCTTCGCTGACGGATATCCAATCACGGTCTTTAATTTCGTTAGTGAAATGCGAGTGAGCCTGGACGCGTTCCCTGGACGATTCTCCCGTTGGAAATCCTATTCACACACCCCTTCTGCGTTCGTCATCCCCTGTCTGTCCGATGGTTAGACAGGCTCGCGTGGAATGCCTGGTTTTAACGATTTATTGTCAGTAGATTGCGGAGTTCACGTACGTCTACTGTTCGTCAAGGTGTAAACACAATAAAATCGGCAGAATGTAAAAAAGTTTGCATTCAACCCGAAGGTAAAGTGTCATGCTTCGAGCGTGTCAGAAACTAACGTAGTCATGTCTCGAGCGCTAGGACACAAGAATTAACAGAAACATGAGGAGTGTCTGCTGTTAAGTTTTAGACAGGGTTATATAAACTGTCTGAGTTCTGTTTCATTTCGCTACTTTCCCTGTTTCAATTTAAATAAGAAATAAGTTTCTTTAAGGTACAGGATGTTCGAGAAGCTAATAGGAATGAAGACTTCTGAGAAATAATATCTCACAAAGTTTCCATTTTGTTGAAAATGGGGTAAGTAATTCTGCAGAAGTTTAAGGAGGACAGTCTGGCTAACAAAGTGTCGATACCTAATATTATTTTGGATGGCTAAAACAAAATGTTCTACTCATTTTAACGACCTGTGACGTGATACCCAATTATCAAGGGTCCATTTTACGACCACACTATCATTTCCACCAATAGCAAGAATAAATATTTCTTTCAAACAAAAGGGTTTACGACTAAAAGCTTTACTTCTTTCAAATTCTTCAACTTCATATTTTACTCGTGCTCCCGCAAAATGGCGCTTATTAATATCGCGATTCTAACGATTCGACGGAAATAGAGGCGCCACGAATACCATTCTTATTACTTGTCCTTTCTTCGTCGTTGTTCCGTGTTTCGTTGGAAACGAACAAAAACACGAAGCAAAACGAAGAAAAAGTATAACAACAGAAGTCGAGTAACATGGCCACAATCTTCGGTAATGAGAGGGCGTATATAGCTTTTGTTTCGGGAACAGCCAGCACGCCGCGAGCCTCCGATACAAAGACACGATGGACCAATCCAGGCCGTATAGAGACAACGGTCCGCGTCGATATTCCAGACGGTCATTGCCGGTACTGCGGAAGCAAGAAATATGTGCTCGTACACTCGAAAACTCGTTTTCTTTTGCCACCAAAAATCGTGATAAAATAGTCGTGTGTAAACTTTTGAATGGTAGAAAATCCAAACTTTTTACCACGTTGTATAAACTGGAAACGAGTGGCTACTAGATTTATTCTGGATCTTATTAGTGACATTACTTATGTGTGACATAGCGATTTTTATTAAATTTATCACAGACGTAGTATATTGAAATGTATTTAACAAACACCTTTTTTATTGATAATTTTTCTATACTTAGGTGATGAATACAGCCCTCGAAGCTGGGGGTGAAACAAAAAATTTTCTTTAATGTATCAGGAACTACACGGTTTAGAAAATCATTGTTTAAAAAATATGTCCCATCAGTATATTGTTTATGTTTACGTAAATAATTTATTTATTTATTATCAGTTGGACTGATTGTAGGACTTATTTCGTCGTAAATAAAATAGAAATGAAGCTTTTGTTGCGCTACGTTTTACACGTTTATCTGCCTTTTGATATCGTTCTGCAAATAAGTCCGTCACTGCGTTATACAAAAACAAGAAACAAGGTGACTAACGCTGCGCAACACTTTCTCGGACATCCTAATACACCGTGAAGTGTTAAAAATTATTGTAGAACGTTGCAGCCTTAACGAAAGTTTGAATTCATTGCCTTTAATGGTAATTACTGAAATTTTCTCTTACGGTTACTTTATTCTGTAATTTATCCCAGCATTTGGACTATTTAAAATAACGTGAAAGGGTGTACTTAAAAGTAATTTGGTTATTAAACTTGTAGCAAGACTCTAAATAGATTGAACAAGTAATTTGGTTATTACGTTTTAAACTAGATTCTAGATAAATTGAAAAAAGCTACTTCTTTTCATGCGAGATATAGAATATTATATCACCGGTTGTGCAGTCGTCGGACAATTGTCTGACGTTCTAACTACAGTTTGCCGTTTCAAACTTCGTGAGTCAAACAACGTTCCCGGCTATATGTTTGCCCAGAGCTTATTCACCCCTTTGTCGTCGGTCTGCGTGCCTGCTTGTATTAAAGCACGACGGGTTGCCGTAATTCAGGCGCCTAGCCAAAGTAAACCTTCGTCGCACTCTATCAGCTGCCTTTTTATTTTTCGTTTAATTATCGAACGACGGTACAGTCATCGACGAAAAGCTACCCGATACACGTCGCGGAGGGGAGGTTTCGGTACGCAACATGGCGGACAAGAATATCCAATAATTTCAGTGGCCATTTTACAATTATTACAGAGAGAATAAGAATATTCAATTTTTAGTTCGAGATGGTAAATGTAACTGTAAGAAACTAAACAAAATTTATATGTAAAATGTCATACAAAATATAATAAATAAATTAATTAATTACTATAAACAAGGAAAGATGGTTGAATATAAATAAAAAGTAGAAATTGCAATGCGTTGTTTATATGTATACAAAATTTCATTTCTAAGGACATCCAAGTCGAAGTTCAGTATTTAATATGAAGTGCCTCGTATGAAAAGAAAATTATTTGTTGTAAAATCACCTCCTGCTTGGTTGTACTACCCCGACCTAGCCTAGATGTGTCCGAAAAAAAAGGTCCTACCGAACCTGCCTAATGTGTCTGCCCATGACTAACTGTTTCTACTCACTGCCCTTATTATTAACAGTAATATACAAACTGCAGAATTTTATGGAAATTTAAATTTCGATGTATTATTCTACAAAACTAAAAATCGAATCGAGCAATCCATAAAGTTAGATTTCGGATGAAAGCAGAAATAATCTTTATAAAATAAAATCACAAATTCAACGAATGCTTAAAAGACAACAAATTTCCTAAAAACAGACATTGACTTCTCGCCATCCGTTGCTCGACGAACAGCGAATATACGCGACACGATATTCGTCGGCTGACGAAACAAAGGTGGTCGATCCACGTCACACAGACGCACGTTAAAAGATTCACGAGACCATACGTGCAAGGAGGTTCCTGCCAAATTTTCCACCCCTCGAGGGCAACTCGTACAGTCACGGGGGAAAACGTTCCCCCGTACAATCCAAGTACAACCCTCTCGAAAAACATCTAGCATACGTTCGCGAGCAATCCTATATCATAGTCGTCATGTTCGATCGAGTTTCCCCGAGACTTTCGCGCGCTACACACAGCGATTCTAATTATTCCATTCGACGCAACCCCCCCCCCCGCCATTCGTTCGGGCGCGTTCGCAATTTTCCTGGGCTGTGTGTCATCGTTCCGTGGTTCTGCCGACGTTCTTCCTTCCCCCTTTCGGTTTATTCACCCCGGCGCGTGCGTCACCCTCTACGCGCGTCGTCTTCGCGGCGAGGCGTGACTGGCTGCCATTCAGAAGGCGTTTTTCGCTGACTGTTCGTGTCGCACAATTTCCCGAAACCGAGTATTATCGACGTCCCTCGGTGTTCTGTTACCGATCTATCAATCTATCTGGTTGTTTGGGTAACAAGGGTTGGACATGGGCCAACATTCAACGAGCATCTCGACACTTCTTGAATTTAAAATCGTATTTAATATTGTACGTGGACTGTTTCGTGTTAGAGTGTAGGGATATTGGGGGATGTTGAGGACACCTGTCGTATTGGTCCCGAGGACAAGGGTAACACTTGTGGCGCACATGAATCTCGAGTTTAGGCTTGGGTTTGGGGTGGAGACGTATGTATGTACATTTTTACAGCGATGTTTCAAGGTGCATTGAGTGGTTCTTAGGGGTTTACCCTTTAGGGTTGTCGTCAAGTAAGGCGTGAAGAGAGGGTGGAAACCTTTGTAAAGACTCTCCTAAACGAATCCTTCGGAGGGTGTGACTACTGAATAGAATCTTTTATTTCAAGGGCTTTAGTTTTTTAACTGTTTCGGGACGAAGGTATTCTTCAACCTCTTCGTTAGGTTTTCTAATGCGACGGTGGTGCTCAATTTACTCGGAGAGTTTTATGAGTTGAAAGCTTTATTTAAGGAATATCACTGCTTAAACACATTTTCTTGTCATTGAAAGTATTGCGAAACTACGCTCTGGTCTAGATACGAACAACCAGAATCACTAGTTAGTAGACTATATTAACTCTCTAAATCTTTTTGCAGGGGACCTTATTTTCAAGAGTATCACTTACTCAGACAGACACTGCTTGCAGTAAGTAGAAACGGTAAGTAATAGACGGACATGCTGGCTTAGTCTTATTCAATAGGTCACCTTAAAATATTCAAAGTACTTCCACCTACAAAAAAAACTATTAGCCCCATCAGATGGCTCTCTTCGTACTGTGTAACTTTCGTTCAACAAATATTTCTATGAACCTTAT